AAGATACACGACGGACGTGCGCACATACAGGATGTACACGGCTCCTGCTGGCCTCGCTTTGCTCTGCTCGCCCTTCCCGGATGTGGGTCACCGGAAGCACTGAAGAAGTCGAACAACTATACGGGGCACGTGCTGGCAGGCAAGTTGTCACGCGTCCACCGCAGGAGCCATTGGAGCGAAATGACGACACAGACGAAGAGGTCTAGAGAGAGGGCAAGCACGGGGGCGACGACAGGGCGGCGGTCAAACAGAATGAAGAGGACGACAACGAAGGACGACGACGAAGCAAGAGCGACGAGGACGCCGACGACCGACGTCGTCCTCGGCATCCGGAGACCTAACAATGGCCAAACACGTGGAGGAGAAGAAGGAAGAGGACAACGACGGCTAGCACGACGATGAAGACCACGACGACGACGACGACGACGACGACGACGACGACGACGACGACGACGACGACGACGACGACGGCGGCGAGGTGCCTCCAGCGCCTCCATGACGGCTGCCGCCGCTGCCGGGGGCGGCACGTAGATCACCGTGGCATCGCACTGGGTCTCCTGCGGCGTCGCCGACGTCCTCCTCCTGGTCCTCCTCCACTTCCTCCCCCTCCTCCTCCTCCTCCTCCTCCTCCTCCTCTTCTCCTCCTCCCTCCTCCTCCTCCTCCTCCTCCTCCTCCTCCTCCTCCTCCTCCTCTCCTCTTCCCTCCTCCTCCTCCTCCTCCTCCTCCTCCTCCTCCCCCTCCTCCCTGCACTCTACGTTTGTGGCCAGTTCTAAGCCTCCAGAGGCCACGGGGAGCGGAGCACGACGTCGGTCGTCGTTGTGGCCGTCGTCGGCGGCGGTGTGGTGGCATCGTCGTCGTCGCGATTGCCGTCATCGTCGCTGGCTCTTTCCGTCACCGCAGTGGGCGGCACGTAGATCGCCTAGCCGTGACACGAGATCCCCCGGAGTTCTCGCAATCACGACGACGACGACGACGACGACGACGACGACGACAACGGACTTCTCTTCCCTTCTGTGAGCACACGGGGCCTGCAGGCTCTCTTCAGGATCTTCGGTTCCAGTGGAGGAAGCGGAAGTGGAGCAGTAGCAGGACAAAGAGGAAGCAGGAGAGATGAGGGAGGAAGGAGGGAGGAGGGAGGAGAAAGGAGGAAACAGGAGGGAGGTGGAAACAGGAGAGAGGAGAAGGGAGGAGGAAACAGGAGGGAGGAGAGAGGAAGGAGAAGAGAGGATGGAAGAGGAGGAGAAGGAGGAGCAGCAGCAAGGAGGAGGAGGAGGAGGAGGAGGAGAATCGGGCTGGAGGCAGCGGGATCAGGCGAACAGAGGAGGACCAAGCGTTTGGAGCGTTTCTGCCCATTATTGTTGGCCTCTGGAGGCCACCCGGGCCGTCCCGAGACTCTGAGAATATCCAGGAACCTTCAGGGACCTCCGGAGACATTTGGCGACCCTAGGAGGGAGGAGGAGGAAGAGGAGGAGGAGGCGGACGACGACGACGACGACGACGACGACGACGACGACGACGACGACGACGACGACGACGGCCACGACGACGGCGGATTCCACCTCCTCCTCCTCCCCCTCCTCCTCCTCCTCCTCCTCCTCCTCCTCGTCCCTCCTCCTCCTCCTCCTCCTCCTCCTCCTCCTCCTCCTCCTCCTCCTCCTCCTCGTCCTATCTCATCTTCGTCCTCCTCGTCCCGCAGCCATTTTGGCTCAAGCCATTTGGACTCAAGCCGCGCCGCCCCTCGTCCTCGCGCCGAAGGCACAGCGCCGCCATGCTGCCGCATTGGCCTGCCGCTTGGGCAGTGCGTGTGCGTGTTGAAGGCGAGGTAGCCCTGCTGGCTTGGTAAAGTGTTCGGACAGAAGACGAAGTTGCAGATGCTGGTGCACGGGTACCTCCTCTGTGAAGACTTCGATCGGGCAGTGGCTGGCTTCTCGAAGGGGCTGAACGGTGATGGCAGCGGCATCAGTATGGAGCTCGTAATCCTCAACGGCCCTGCCGTGCACGATGGGAAGATGGAGGACTGCATGCCCAGGGTACTGCCCGAGGCTGAGCTAGACACCAAGGAGGCCTGGAAGTTGCGAATCGGGAACTGCGAGGACGTCCCGGAGGCGCTGGAGCATTTGCATAAGCTCCAGGAGACGAACGACGGGGGCAAGCATGCGCCCAATGATCCCCACGCGAAGGATCCAGAGGACATCATGCTGCGAGCCTCCCAGCTGGAGACTCTCGCGGGCCATCAAGACACGGGGCTGCCAAGCGACGTCAACGTGACGATCGACAGGGTGGGGACGCTGGAGGCCGAGCTTGCGGAGCTTGCCAGCCGCGCGACCGCGACCGCCACCAAGGAGGAGCAGCAGCAGAGCGGCTCCAACATGATGGCCGACCATCTGGGAACTCTGGAGGCCGAGTTCAAGGAGCGCACCCTGATGCTTGCAAACCGCGCGGAGTGGTCGGACGGCAAGCTCAACACGAACGACATCAGCAAGACTACCATCTGGGTGGGGACGCTGGAGGCCCAATTCGAGATGGCCAACCGCGTGACCGCCATCACAGAGGAGCGGCAGCTGAACGGCATCATCAGGATGACCGAGTGCATGGAAATGTCGATGCAGGTCCATGAGCAGAGCTAGCATACGTCGAAGTCTGGCGACAAGAAGATTACCTAGAAGTAGTACGTGGACTGCATAGATGAGGGCCAGTGCGACATCTACTACATTATTGGCCAGAGCGGCATGACAGCAGCTGAGGAGCCCACACCAGACAAGACGCACAGCAAGGGGTGGAAAGTGATCCTCCTTACTGACCGTTTGGAGGTGAGAGCCATAGAGCAGCTCCAGAATTACGACGGCAAGAAGCTGACGTCGACCAAGCAGGTGGAAGAGCAGCTGGCGCGGGACGGCATGAAGTCGAACATCCACCGGCTTGAGAATAAGCTCACCAGCCTGGAGGCGCAGGTCGGCAGCGAGCTCGCCGACCTCAAGAACTCCGTGGTCGACGGCATCCACTCTTTGGTCACGGCCTGCCTTGCGAAGGCGGGATGAGGCGACAGACGAGCGCCTGTCTGAGAGGAGGCCAGCAGCGCCGAGGTCCTCCAAAAGGCAGCGTCGCCTGCGGGCACATCGCTGCGCCGCTCCTACTTAATTGGTGAACTACAGCGGAAGGAATGGATTATCCTTCCCCCCCTTCGCTGTGCCGCGGCCGGGGCTGCGACGGCGGTGCCCTCAGTCGTCGACGGGGGTCTGGGGGGGAGCAGCTACCGGGCCTCCTGCCCCCGCTGGGCGGGTTCGGGTGCCCTGGTGGTTTCCTCCCCCATTCTCCCTTTCTCAGCCTTTGCGCAGGAGATGTGTCTAATCCTAGTCCTCCTCCCCGTCCTCCTCCTCCCCGCTGGCATCCCGAAACAGCCCGAACACGAAAACGTCTGAAAACCCTTGCAAAACCAATGATCGCTGACTCTCGTAATCATCTTCGGAGTTCCCTTGAGGCCCTTTCGGGACATCTAGGAAGCATCTTGGGCCGTCTTGAAGGCAGATTGGGGACCCAGGGGGCATCTTGAAACCGTTTCGGACCATGTACGGCCCCCCCTGAAGATCGTATGACGCCGAATGCGGGCCTCTTCGGGTTTCGAAGTACTGGGCCGCTTGGGGGTAGTGTGTATATATATATATGTGTGTACATGTGGATACGTGTACATTAAAATATTCAGATACTACAGAATGCATAGAAACAAATGTAAATGTACATATATGTATATATGCTTAAATATACGTATGCTTATATATATACATCAGATGACAATCATAGAAGTATAAGAAGATATATCCGTATATGGATGTACAACGTCATGTGTGTACACATGCATACAAACATACAAAAATGCAGAATTCCATCCATAGATACATACATGCATGCATATAGACATGCATACATGCACATGCATACAGACATGTATGCATACAGACAGGCAGGCAGGCAGACAGACAGACAGACAGACAGACAGACGTACATACATACATACGTACATGCATACATACATACATACATACATACATGCATACATACATATATACATACATACATACATACATACATACATACATACATACATACATACATACATACATACATACATATGCATACATACATACATACATACATACATACATACATACATACATTCATGCATACAGACATATACATACATACATACATACATACATACATACATGCATGCATGCATGCATGCATGCATGCATACATACATACATACATACATACATACATACATACATACATACATACATACATACATACATACATACGCATATACAAAACAAAAACATGCATCCATGCATACATACATACACGAATACGTACATACGCATAAACGCATGAGCACATAAACAAGTCCATTGTGTGCATAGAAAAGAGGCCAGACAAACAACCCATGGGTTGGGAGCGGGCGGGAGTCTGCGCTGGATGGGCCCTGAAGAAATCAGTCAAGAAAGGGAGTATCGGGTCGGGCGAAAGGAGGGGGTCGCAAAGGGGGGGGGTGAGAATCAGCTCGCGTAGCTGATTTTCCTGGCGCCTCCCAGCGCTGGAGGCGGCTATGTATCAAAGAATGGGCCTGGCGCGGGGCCGAAACCAGCTGCATGCAGCAAATTTCGTAACCCCCCCTTTCCCAATCCCCCCCTTTCGCCCGGCCCGAGAGTATGGCGAACCCGCTCGAAATCGGTGCCCGCACACCTCCTGGAGCCGAAACCGACTAGCTGTTCGAGCCGCGTCCAGCCGTGGCGACGACGGGGCCCTTTCTTTCCCCCCTTCTGCTGGACGGAGCCGATGCTGGGCCACCCCGGCCCCTCAGCTGGCCCCGAGCCACAACCAACAACTAACAGCCAGCAGGAAAGAAAGCAGCGGACAAACAAAGACAACAAACACGCCACGACGAGCGCGGCGCAAGGCGAGGCGTCCTTCCTGGCCTCCGTCGCGCTGCCGAAGATCGGAACGCCCAAGTGCGTCGAGCCGGCCTCGAGCGGGCCCCCCCCGGGCGGCGGACCCGGCCAGAGGACGAGGATCCTCCTCAAAGTATATATACTGTGTATATCTAATTGTTGTTATTTATATTTTGGAATAAAAAACATACAAAAAACAAACAACAAACAACAAACAACAAACAACAAACAACAACAAACAAATGATTATAATTACGTGTGAATGTATGTATATATATAGGACCCAACCATGAGCAGTTGTAGATACCCGGATCTGGGTCCATCTTCCGACGAACCTCCGTACGGATAGCGCGTTCTGTGCCCATCTTTCGCAGAGGGCGGGGAGGGCGCATGTGGACTGTGCCACTTGGGCCTTCGGTGGAGCTCCCCATGGCGCCACGAACCGGTGCCGGGATGGACGTGCGGTGGGCGGGGAGGACGCATGCGGACAAGGCCACTGGGGCCTTCAATGGAGCTCCCTCTGGGGCCGCGAAACGTGTGAGGGGTGTGCCGAAATGGACGTGCGGTGGGCGGGGGGGGCGCGTGCGGACGCGGCCACTGGGGCCTTCATTGGAGCTCCGTATGGGGCCACGAAACGCGTGAGGGGTGTGCCGAGATGGACATGCGGTGGGCGGGAAGGGCGCATGCGGACGCGGCCACTGGGGCCTTCAGTGGAGCTCCCTATAGGGCCACGAAAAGCGTGAGGGGTGTGCCGAAATGGACATGCGGTGGGCGGGGGACGCGGCCACTGGGGCCTTCGGTGGAGCTCCCTGTGGGGCCGCGAAACGTGTGAGGGATTTACCAGAATGGACGTGAGGTGGGCGGGGAGGACGCGTGCGGACGCGGCCACTGGGGTCTTCGGTGGAGCTCCCGATGGGGCCACGAACCGGTGCCGGAATGGACGTGCGGTGGGCGGGGAGGACGCATGCGGACACGGCCACTGGGGCCTTCGGTGGAGCTCCCTGTGGGGCCGCAAAACGTGTAAGGGGTGTGCCGAAATGGACGTGGGCGGGGGGGGGCGCGTGCGGACGCGGCCACTGGGGCCTTCATTGGAGCTCGGTATGGGCCCACGAAACGCCTGAGGGGTGTGCCGAAATGGACATGCGGTGGCCGGGGAGGGCGCATGCAGACGCGGCCACTGGGGCCTTCGGTGGAGCTCCCTATAGGGCCACGAAAAGCGTGAGGGGTGTGCCGAAATGGACATGCGGTGGGCGGGGGACGCGGACACTGGGGCCTTCGGTGGAGCTCCCTATAGGGCCACGACAAGCGTGAGGGGTGTGCCGAAATGGACATGCGGTGGGCGGGGGACGCGGACACTGGGGTCTTCGGTGGAGCTCTCTACGGTGCCACGAACCGTGTGACGGGTTTGCCAGAATGGACATGCGGTGGGCGGGGAGAACGCACGCGGACGCGGCCACTGGGGCCTTCGGTGGAGCTCCCTGTGGGGCCACGAAACGTGCGACGGGTGAGCCGACATGGGCATGCGGTGGGCGGGGAGGACGCATGCGGACGCGGCCACTGGGGCCTTCGGTGGAGCTCCCTATGGGGCCGCGAACCGTGTGAGGGGTTTGCCGGAATGGACATGCGGTGGGCGGGGAGGACGCGCGCGGACGCGGCCACTGGGGCCTTCGGTGGAGCACCCTGTGGGGCCACGAACCGCGTGACGGGTGTACCTGAATGGGCATGCCGTGGGCGGGGAGGGCGCATGCGGACGCGGCCACTGAGTCCTTCGGTGGAGCTCCCTGTGGGGCCACGAAACGTGCGAGGGGTGTGCCGAAATGGGCATGCGGTGGGCGGGGAGGACGCATGCGGACGCGGCCACTGGGGCCTTCGGTGGAGCTCCCTACGGGGCCACGAACAGTGTGAGGGGCGTGCCTGAATGGACATGCTGTGGGCCGGGGAAGAGGGAGGAGGATGAGGAGGAGGAAAGGAGGAAGGAAGCCACATCTTAAGAAATCCATGCAAAAAAATTGCGAACAAAAACCTACGGACTATCAAAGTGTTTGATATATCATTGCCACGAAAGCTGTGATAACCTAGTTTTTCATGACGACGAGGGGCCAAACTTTATGTGTTCACAGGTTTCGTGGCGATCAGATAGCAAAAACACTGGCTTCCCTTAGCTGTTGCAGCTTTTTCGCATGGATTTCCTCGGATGTCCTTGGTTTTCTTTGCTTTGTTTAATGCTATGTTTTTTGTTATGCAGCTTCGCCTGCTCGCGCCCTGGCGCTGCGCCAGCCCTCGCGCCGCCAGGGCGGGCACGCGAAAATGCGAAAAGGGCAGGGAAAGAAAAAAAGACATCCCAAGAGATCCATGCAGAGAAGCTGCAAAACCTGAGGGAATGTAAGTTCTCTGGCAGCTAGCACCTACGAAACCTTTGAGCACACTTTTTGATCTGCGGGGCGAGAGCGAACCTCTTCCGCTAAAAGCTAGGCGGGCTACGCACAGCAAAAAACCTGAGAGCACACGCCGGGCCCAGAAACAAACCAAACAGAAAACACGGGTTGGTCGACCCCTCGTTGGCCCAGCCAGACGGGCCAAGTGAGCGGGCCAAGCCGAAGGGAACGGAGCAAGGGCGGGAGTTGGGCGTGGCCTACTGGGCAGCTTTTAATGCATCGGATTTTCAAAAATATAGCATTTAAAATACATGATTAATTTATGAATAAATGTATGCATGAACTCATCGTTGTTTTTAATACTAAATCCCTGCATTTTTAATACATGATCCGCACGCGGAGCATGTATTGAAAACGGCACTGTACTGTGGGGGGTCATCAGTGGGGGGGTCACAAACGGGCCCCTCTGTCGTGCCCCTTTCGGGCCCCTCCGGAGCCCCAGGGGGCTCGTTTAGGTACCGTTTGGGTACCTCTTCGGACCACCCTCGCCACCCCCCCATTTATGACACCCCCATTACTCGGGGGCGGCCAAGAGGGGGGCGTCCAAGAGGGGGGGTGCAAATCATGACCGGCGGCATGTGCGCGGCCCAGCAGGGGGGGCCAGGGACGTAATGAAATAAGAGGAAGAGGCGCCACGAGATCTGGGGAAAGATCATGGCCCCCGCCATGAAATCCACCCCCCCCCCTAGTCATCACCCCCCTCTTTTCCGCCCCCGGAGGGAGGTCGCCTGGCAGGAGTTCCGGGACACACTGGACGCCCTCAGGGCCACGACCGCCCGCCCCGAAGCCTGGGGGAGTACGTTCCTCTCGTCTCTCTCGAGAAGGCGGGAGCTCCGGGGGAGGAGGAGGAGGAGGAGGAGGAGGGGGAGGAGGAGGAGGAGGAGGAGGAGGAGGAGGAGGAGGAGGAGGAGGAGGAGGAGGAGGAGGAGGAGGAGGAGGAGGAGGAGGAGAGGAGGAGGAGGAGGAGGAGGAGGAGGAGAAGGAGGAGGAGGAGGGGGGGAGAGGGGGGGAGGAGGAGGGGAGGGGGGGAGGAGGGAGAGGAAGGGAAAAGGTTGGCCGTTCCAGGTGCCACAGGGACGTCGGAGGCTGGGGCCCGGGGCACCGCGGCGCCGTCGTCGTCGCCGCGGCCGGCGCTCTCGGAAGCCCTCCGCGGCCGCGGCCTTCTTCGAGTTGACGCCGCCGACCATCTTGGTGCCGTACTCCATCGCCTCCCCGCCCCTCCCGCAGCCCTGGTCGTCGTCCTCGTCCTCCGTCTCCTCTGCGTCCTTGCGTCCCCTGCTCTTGCACCTCCTTATGACATCCTCCTCCACGCTTTTGCATCCGAAGCTCACTCGGGTCCAGGCTCAGCCATCATCCATGCCCGAACAGATCTGGCAGGCATCACGCCTGTGAGAGTAGCTCCTCGTCGGCGCAGCCTTCCCCCCCCACACACCCCAGCGGCCTGCGTGGAGTGGAAGGTGCCCTGTCGGCCCGTCATGCCCTGGCAGATGACCTCCCGCGCGCGCGCGGTGACCCGGCACGGTCTGAGGCGCGCCCGCGGAGGGAAGGGGGGCGGAGGAAGGGGGCGAGGCGCGGTGGGGCCACGGCGACGATGGCGCAAGATGGAGTCAAGCAAACGCTCGCCAGGGCGGTGAGGGGGAAGGGGAGGGGAAGTGGCAAGGAGGGGGGCAGAGGGAGGGGGAGGGGGGGGAGGAGAAGAGAGAAGGAGACGACGAATGAGCAGGGCGGGGATGGGGGATCAGGAATGAGAGGAGGAGAAAAAGGAGGAGGAAGAGGAGGAGGAGGAGGACGAGGAAGAGAGGGTGGAGGAGGGATAAGGACAAGAAGAAGAAAGGGGCAGCGAGAAGAGCAGGCGAGAGGAAGAGGGAGGCAGAGAGGAATTCCTGTCCGTCCCCACATGATGTTCCCAAAGGTCTTCGAGACGGCGCCCAAAACACCACGGCGCGGCTCCGATGCCTTCCATATAACGATAGAGAAGGGGGCAGCGGCAGAGGGCGAAGCAATTACGTATGTTTGTATATGTATATATATATATGTATACACATGTACACCTGCATACAGAGAGAAAGGATAGGAGAGAACTGTTTTCATATACAGTGTATGTAAATGTATATGCACCGTTGTGCCTACATCTACATCTAAATGCGCATACAAGTATAGCACGCGCTAACTCATGAATGCTTACCATAGTTATGGGCACAGTTAAAATAGTGCATACAACGAATAACTATACTATGCAAACATATGTAAACATATACAAATATACAAACACACACACACACACACACACACACACCTACATATGATGAACAAAGAGAGAGAGAGAGAGAATGAGAGAGAGGAAAAGAGGGCCAACTGAGAGAGAGAGAGAGATACGACGACGACGACGACGACGACGACGACGACGACGACGACGACGACGACGACGACAACAAAAAACGGAGAGAGAGAGAGAGACAGGGTGAAAGAGAGAGAAGTGGAGAGAGAGAGAGGGAGAGAAAGAGAGAGAAAGAGAGAGACAGGTGCGAGGGGAGGAGCTGGGAGGGTGGTGGTGGTGGCTTGGGTAAGCAATCTGGTGAGGCCGCGGGCACTGCCTCTTTAGCGGCACCTCCCACTCAGGGATGGCTGGGGGGCAGCTCACCACCTGTCGCGGGGGTCTAGTACCGCAACGCCACGGCGCCACTTGGTCCGAGAGACTCCCAGGGGTACCTCCCCTGGGGCACCCTCCCCGCCCCACCTCGACCACAGGAGGGCCCAGCAATACCAGCCCTCAAATACCTGGGAGCGGGATATCCCAGAACAGGAGGGCGCTACAGCTGGGGTCCCGACCCAGGACGAGGGGGACAGGGGGATCCATCCAGGGCAGCCCTGGTGGCCACCCGTGCCGGGCGGAACCTGTGCCGCAGAGTGGGGATGGACAGCGCGAGAGCTCCCGCTCACCTCCGCTGGGGCCTCGCCCGTCCTAGCACATCCCCGATGCCACCGCAGGGCGCAGCTGCGAGGCGATGAAAGATGACTGGAAGAGGCCCTCCCCGAGGGGGTACCCCCCGCCACCACCCCGGCTCGGCATCGGGACGCGGCCCGGCCTGCGGGGAGAGACAGGGGGGGAGAAAGAGCCTCCTCGCCCACCCCGAACTCCACCGGCCCCCAGGGGGGCCCCAAGCCAGGGAACGGGCGAGGCCACCGCAACAAAACAGAAAGCCCCAGGAACCCCAGGGGAGCACACCCCGAAAGCCACAGGCCCCCTGGGGGGCCCTCGCCAGGAAACGAGGCGAGGCCACCGAGACAGAATCCAGAGCCCCGGGAGCCCCAGAGGGAGGAGGAGGAGGAGGAGGGGAGGGAGCACAGGCGGAGGCCACCCCCGATCCCCGGAGAAGCCCCGGAACGCCCAGGCGGCAGTGTCACCGCAGATGCGGACTCACTCCCGCCCAGGGTTCGGGCACTTCTCCGGCAGCTGGGGAGCCATGCTCCGACTCCTCCTTTGGGGGCCCTACCCAGAACCGCCGCTGCTGCTTGTCCACGCCCGCCGCGAGCGCGACCGCCTCCGCGTAACCAGCCTCCCCCGGCCTGGCAGACAGCAGCGCGCGCGCACAAGCCTCCTGCGAGACCGGCTGGGGCTGCGCCCGCGCCGTCCAGAAGGCAGCCCGGCCTTCTGCGGTACCCGGGCAGCCGCTGCATACATGGAACGACAAACTGCGCTGCCGCGCGCCACACAGCACGCAGCTCTGCGCGGCAGCCCACGACCTGCGCCCGCCCACGTGCCCCAGGATGAAGAGGCCAGCCCTCCAGCGGCTGAGGGACCGCATGCCCTGCAGAACGTCCCAGCTGCACGCGCCCTGGAGAGCTATCGCCAGATCCCGCACCGGGCCCTCGCACAGGGAGAGCAAAGGGACAGGACGGTCATGGACCCTCGCCCTGAGCTGCCACTCCCCCCTGCACTTGCGCCCTGGAGGGCGGGGAGGGCTGGGGAAGGGGGAGGGAGGAAGGGAGGCGAGGGGAGGGAGAGGTGGAGGCGGGGGAGTGTGGGAACACGGGAAGGGAGAAGGGCGATGGGCGAGGAGCGGGGCGGGTGAGAGGAAAAGCGGCGGAGAGGAGGAGAGGGAAAGTGCGAGACGGAGAGGGGCATTGTGCGACTGGCAGGGGCCTTGCGCCCCCCCCCCTGCGGAGGCGCTGGCCTTGGTGTTCTTGTCGATCCACACCTTGGCCGTGGAGGAGTGCCGAGCCTGCGCACGTCGCTCTTCTCATCCTCCTCCTCTTCATCATACTCATCATCACCCTCATAATCATCATAATCATCGTCGCCGTCCCCGCTATCATCATCATAATCATCATCATCATCATCATCAGCATCATCATCATCATCATCATCATCATCATCATCATCATCATCATCATCATCATCATCATCGTCGCCGTCCCCGCTATCATCATCATCATCATCATCATCAGCATCATCATCATCATCATCATCATCATCGTCGTCGTCCCCGCTATCATCATCATCATCATCATCATCATCATCATCATCATCATCATCATCATAATCATCATCATCATCATCATCAGCATCAGCATCATCATCATCATCATCATCATCATCATCATAATCATCATCATCATCATCATCATCATCATCATCATCATCAGCATCATCATCATCATCATCATCATCATCATCATCATCATCATCATCATCATCATCATCATCATCATCATCATCATCATCATCATCATCATCATCATCATCATCATCATCATCATCATCATCATCATCATCATCATCATCATCATCATCATCATCATCATCATCATCATCATCATCATCATCATCATCATCATCATCATCATCATCATCATCATCATCATCATCATCATCATCATCATCATCATCATCATCATCATCATCATCATCATCATCATCATCATCATCATCATCATCATCATCATCATCATTCATCATCATCGTCATCACCAACCATCAGCATCAGCATCATCAGCAGCATCATCATTACCACCACCGCCACCATCATTGGCATCATCATCAGCAGCAGCATCATCATCAGCAGTAGCAGTAGCACCAGCATCATCATCATCATCAGCAGTATCCGTATCCTCATCCTCATCAGCATCCTCGTCCTCATCACCACCATCACCATCACAATTACCATCACCAGTACCATCACCATCACCATCATGAGAATCATCAAGCTAATCATCATCATCATCATCACCATCGTCATCGTCAGCAGACGCAGCATCATCTTCGGCATCATCAGCAGCATCATCATCATCATGATCGCTCTCTTCGTCATGATGATAATGATGATCATCATCCTTGCCAGCATCAACCTCAACGTCGGTAATATCGTCATGATCGTCGCTACCATTACCACCACCATCACCACCATCAATATGTCAAAGAATAAATCAACTAAATGGCGCATCAATCGATGACCACCACCAGCACCATCAACATCGCTACCATATTTTATCACATGCAACCTCCATCGTCATCACCACCGCAAACATCACCACCGTCGTAATCACCATCATCAGCAACATCACCATCAGCATCATCATCATCACCGTCAGCATCATCATCTTCATGAACGACATCAGCAGCAGCATCATCAGCAGTAGCGCCGGCACCGGCAAAACCATCATCGTCATCCGCACCATCATCATCATCAGCATCATGAACATCATCAGTATCGTCATCATCATCAGCATTATCCTCGTCCTCATCCTCATCCTCGTCATTATCATCTTCATCCTCATCATCACCACCATGACCATCTCCAGTGCCTTCACTACCACCACCACCGATGGATCATCATCAGAATCATCAACATAATCCACATCATCACCACCACCATCATCATCGTCACCAGCAGCATCAGCTTCGTCACCATCAGCAGCAGCAGCAGCATCATCGTTCTCTTCGTCATGATGAGAATGGTCATCATTACCCTTGCCAACATCAACCTCAACGACGGTCGCATCGTCATGATCGTCACCATCATCACCACCACCACCATCACCACCAAAACTAAATGGTACATCAATCGATCATCACCAGCAACATCAACATCACCAACATATTTCATCATATCCAACCCCCATCGTCATCACAACCGCAAACATCACAGCCGTCGTCATCGTCGTCATCACCATCATCAGCAACATCACAATCAGCGTCATCATGATCACCGTCATCATCATCACCACCACCACCATCATTATCATAATCATCAACATCATCATCCATCCTCACCCGGCTCCATATCATCATTCCCTGCCTCATCATCCTTCTGATTGTCATCATCATCATAATTAGCAGACGTAGCATCATCATCAGCATCAGCATCATCATCATGATCACCGTCAGCATAATCATCATCAGTTTCGTCATCATCATCATCATCATCACCATCATCATCATCATCATCATCATCATCACCGCCTACCTCCTCATCATCATCACCCTCCTGGTCCTCCATCAAATCCTCACTGCCCATCACTCCTCAGTCCCCCTTGTCCTTCTCATCCTCAGACGCATCATCCTCGCCTTGCCACTCCCTCTCTTTCGCCTCCTGCTCCTCCTCCTCCTCCTCATCATCATCCTCCTCTTCTTCCACCTCCTCCTCCTCCGCGTCGCCTCTCGGTGACCCCCGCCCCGCCCTGCCCAGGGCGCCATCTGGGGAGGCGCCGGCGGAGGAGGCGCCATCTGAGAAGGCGCGATCCGAGGAGGCGCCCTCTGAGGAGGACTAGGAGGAGGAGGAGGAGGAGGAGGAGGAGGAGGAAGAGCAGGAGGAGGAGGAGGAGGAGCAGGAGGAGGGGGAGGAGGAGGAGGAGGAGGAGGAGGGGAAGGAGGGTCTGGGCCCGTCTCCCCCCCTGAGGCCACGCGGCACGAGGCGGGTGCTCAGGGCGCCCGCGCCCGAGCCGGTTCCCGACATGGGGGTTGCCATCCAGGGCGGGCGCTCGTCAGCAGCCCCCAGTAACAGGCTGCGAGCTGGGTCTTCCCCAAGCAGCGGGTCTCCCCCACTTTTTTGGTCTGCGGGTCGAGAGCGAGCCTCTTCCGGTTAAGAGCTAGGCGGGCCGCGCAAAGCACTAATTGGGGAGACAGAGCACAGGCGGGCGGGGCCTCAGGCGGCCGCGGGTCTCCCCACTGGCAGTTCCCAATTGCTACCAGCGGCCCCGAGGGACTCTTCAAGGGCGGCCCGCTCGCTGACCTGGCAGCTTTGTCAGTGATCCTCCCCCTTCTTGTCCCCACGGACTCCTCGATTTCCTACACTTATTTCTCCTTATGCCACCCCCATCAATACTAATCCCACTCCACTTCCTTACTTCCGTCCTGAAAACCCCTCCGAAATATTCCAGAAAGATCAACAGTGAAGCCTCCGGACACATGTTTTCAAACTTTTACCCGGAAAGCCTCCTAGACCCTCCAGAAACACCGTCGCAGGCACACTGAGGGACCTGAAAAGAAGCCCCTGAACACATCCACAGACCCCACAGGAAGTCTCCCGCCCCCGCGGGAGGCCCCCGAAAACCTCCAGAAGCCTCCGAAGACCTCCGAAAATCTCAGGAAAGTCCTTGAGTCGCCGTTGCCACCACCGCCGCCATCGTCGTCGTCGCCGCCGCCGCCGTCTCCGTCGTCGTCGTGTTCAACGTCGCCATCATCGTCGTCGTCGGGGCCGTCGTCGTCGTCGTTGTCAGCGTTGTCGTCGTCGAGGTCATCGTCGTCGTCCACGTCGTCGTCGTCGAAGTCATTGTCGTCCCCATCATCGTCGTCGTCGAGGACGTCGTCGTCGTCGTCGCCTTCGTCGTCGTCGTCGCCGCCGCGGCCGTCGTCGTCGCCGTCGTCGTCGTCGCCGTCGCCGTCATCGTTGTCGTCGAGGTCGTCATCGTCGTCGAAGTCATTGTCGTCGCCATCCTCGTCGTCTTCGAGGTCGTCGACGTCGTCCTCGTCCTCGTCCTCGCCCTCGTCGCCATCGACGTCGTCGCCGCCGCCGCGGCCGTCGTCGTCTTTGCCGTCGTCGTTGCCGTCGGCATCGACGCCGCCGTCGTCGTCGTCGCCATCCTTAGCATCGTCGTCGTCGAGATCGTCGACGTCGTGGTCGTTGTCGTCGCCATCATCGTCGTCGTCCACGTCGTCGTCGTCGCAATCGTCGGCGTCGCCGTCCTCGTCGTCGTCGTCGCCCTCGTCGTCGTCGCCCCCGCCGCCGTTGTCGCTGCCTCCGTCGTCGCCGTTGCCATCATTGTTGACGTCGAGGTCATGGTCATCGAGGTGATTGTCGTCGCTATCATCGCCGTCGCCGTCGTCGCCGTCGCCATCGTCGTCGTCATCGAGGTCGTGGTGGTCGTCGTCGTCCTCCCCCTCCTCCTCGTCCGAGGCGGCGGGGCCTGCGCACGGGGCAGGCCCGCGGCAAGGGCTCTCGCCACGGACGCCATCGGTGCCCCGCGGCCTCGGAGCGGCAGGCGGCGGGGAAGGAGAGGCAGGGAGGGGAGGGGCTCGTCGGCGGCGAGCCCAGGGCGGAAGTGAGAAGGGGCGGGCCTTCTCAGAAGGCTCGGAAGTCCCCAGGCCTTCTGACGAGTTTTCTGGGCCTTCCCCGAAGGTACCGAGAATCGCTCAGAAGGTCTCCCCGCCGCCTGCTGAGAAGGCCTTCTCCTTCTCACTTCCCCCCTCGCTCGTCGCGGAGTTCAGGGAGGAGAGGGGGAGGAGAAAGGAGGGATGGGGAAGTGCGGCGGGGAGGGGAGGGGGGGTGGAGGGGTTTAGGGGGTTTTCTCTCGGGAACCTTCCGAGAAGCCACCCCCAAGGGGGGGTTGGATGAGATTCAAAAAGTCTTTCCACTCGAACCCCCCATCATGGCTTCTTCTTTGGGGGGGGGGTCTCTCCGGAACCCTCTCAAAACACCTCCGTCAGTGGGGGCTTGAAAGGAGAGGAAGGAGGAGGAGGGACGAGGAGGAAGAAGACCCTGAGATCTGGGCGTTGTTACTTTTCACAAAAGTCGTATTCGCCCAATCTCGGGCCATGTGACCCTCACAGATCGCTCCGGCTCTGAAAAAACACAGACAGATGTAGTCTAGGACTCTGGCAAGAATGTTTACCTTTGTTTCTATGTCTCGATACGTCGGATCGCGCTTGCAACTATCGGAAGAGGAGGAAGAGGAGGAGGAAGAGGAGGAGGAAGAAAGAGGAGAAGGAGGAGGAAGAGGAGGAGGAGGAAGGAGGAGGAGGAGGAGGAAGAGGTTCGGTTCGGCCGTCCTCGACGGCGCGGGTCGCGCTTGCAACTGTCGGGCGGGTGCCGCCCCCCATGGGAGGCGACACGACAGCCGAGAGGGAAGAGGGAGCAGGAGGAGAAGGAAGGGAAAGAGGAAAAGGAGGAAGAGGAGGAGGAGGAGGGGGAGGAGGAGGAGTAGGAGTAGGAGGAGGAGGAGGAGGAGGAGGAGGAGGAGGAGGAGGAGGGAGGATCGAGGAGGAGGAGGAGGAGGAGGAGGAGGGGGAGGAGGATGAGGAGGAGGGAGGAGGATGAGGAGGAGGAGGAGGAGAAGGAAAAAGAGGAGGAGGAGCAAGAGGAGGGAAAAGAGGAGGAGGAGGAGAAGGAGGAAGTGAAGGATCTGAGGTGATGTGGCTCTGAGGCGCCTCGGCGCCGCCTGCTGAGGGCCAGCTTCCTGGCGCCACTGCCTTAGAGAGCACGATGGTCGCACGCGTCCATCGCATTTTACTCTCGCGAGTTCAGGGCAAACAGGACGAGGACGGGGACAGGGGGGCGGGGGGGGAAGCGGAGGAGGGAGGAGGGAGGGGGAGGGGCTCTGGAAGGGTATAGGAGGTCCGGGAGGTCCGGGGAGGTCCGGGGAGGTCAGAGGACGTGGGAGGCTTTGGGAGGTGATCGGTGATCGGAGGAGGGCAGGGCAAAAATTGCGAGCGTCGTGCGCCACCCGGACGGTCTGTTGGCTACAAGGGGTCCGATGGGTTGGCAGGATGGAGGAGAGAAGGAGGAGGAAGAAGAGCAGCAGCAGCAGGCGCAGTGTGCTCAGCGTCGAACGCGAAGGAAGGAATTCCAGACAGGACGACGGTCAAGGGCCCCATCCATCTCCGATGCCGCAAAATCCCTGCGGCGACACAGCGAACGATGGCGCGCTGCTGGTCCTCCGGACAAGGGCAGCGATCTACGAACAGTTCTTTGCCCTCGTACCCATGCGGATCCTTGGCGAAGGTGGCCTGCCGTTGGAGGCCTCACAGGAAGTGAAGGGCCTTGAGGGGAACCCTGATATGGTGGCCTTGGAGACCATAGAGTCGGAACTCACCGTTGTGGGACCTGAGCTCTCCAGGGAGCAACTCTCTTGAGGGTCTGGACAGGCGAACGCGCAGAGAGCCTGGCGATCCCTTTGGCTTTCCTTCCCTCACTTGTGCAAGACCACTGAACGTCAATGGAGAAAGCGCAAACCATGTATGTCCACGCTCCCAATCCAAAATCGCAAGCACGCTTGTCAACGGTAACGGCTCTGGCCTCGACACATGAGGTTCTCTGGTCTGCTTGGCCGAACTTTCCCATCCTCTCGGCGCGGAGAGCTTGCACGTGCTGACTCATGTCAGCGTTGATGCCGCTCTGCGCGCGTGCTGCCTAAGCCGAAGCCTGGTCTCCAATGATTTGGTCGGGAGCTCTCGGAACGAGATCTCTTGCAGGGGAAAAGAGCTGCAAGAATCGCTGCCGGCTCCTTGGCCCATCTTTCTCCCTCCTTCACCTCCCTCCTCCCATCATTTGCATCCGTATGCCTTCGGCTCATCCGCGTGCACCCGTGCCCTGCTTCCACGCGAGAGTGAGAACCCTCCCGAGAGGCGAGTGCCTGCGAGTCCAGCCACAAAAAATGTAGAGGGCGCTGGCGCTCGAGCCCAGGAGACTGCCGCACAGCGGGGGCACACCTCCGAGAGGCGGCCGGGGAGCCTTCCCGCGACCAAGTCCAGAGCACGGTGCCTAAAAACGCAATCGCAACGTTGGGGGGCCCAGTTGTTCTGCAAACCGTCAACTGCCACCATGAGACGGGGCGCCGCCGACGGCGTCGTCGTCCTCTTCCACCCTCCACTGCTTCTCGACGCCCGCTGTTGGTTCTCGCCATCGCTCCCTCTCCGTCGCCCTTGCCTCCCTCTCTTCCTCCAACGACTCCTCCCCCTCCTCCCCGGCCCCACCAGACCCAGCGCGAAGACCTTGACTGGGCCAGCCGCCCTACCCACCCTACGTGGGTATGGGAGCCATGTCTCTCGGGCTCCGCGGCGCCCATGCCCACCTGAAGCGGGCACGCTTGGAGAGCTGACCTGCCCTGGTTCTGCCGATGATGACCCCCGACCCTCTTCCATCCCCAAAACAGCCCTCCTCCTCGTCTCCGGCTGACCGGTCGCTTGTCCATTTTGCGTGCTTCCTGCTTGTGCACCGTCTGGTGCTGTCTCTCCCACTCCCCCTCCGCCTCCTCCTCCTCCTCCTCCTCCTCCTCCTCCTCCTCCTCCTCCTTCTCTGAGTCACCTTGTGTGACCGGCGCCACGCCTATTTGACGCTTCACTTTGCTCACGCACTGGCCGGTGCAAGGCTTACTTGACCTCCTCGTCTCCAGACTCGTGCCTCCGCAGGCCATGATACACCGCCGCACGGCCGCGGCCTCCCCCTGCGCGGCGGGAGCACACCGGAGCCTCGTGAGACCTTGGAGGCGCCCGGGGGATCTGCGTTGCACGGGCCCCGAGAAGATCGGCCAAGAAGGGGGGGGGGCGAGGCCAGACCGCTCACAATCAGTCCCTCCTCCTCCTCCTCCTCCTCCTCCTCCTCCTCCTCCTCCTCCTCCTCCTGCTCCTCCTCCTCCTCCTCCTCCTCCTCAACCATCTGGTCAAAATTGGACCCCAAGACCGTCCTCGCGCCCATCCTGGCCAACGGGGGCAATGAGAGCCTCCGAAACGCCTCCCACAGACCTCCGAGGCGCAGGACGTCCTCGAGTCTCAACTTTCCGACGTCGCCCGCCCGCCGGCCACGCCTTTTTTTGGTCAGAGCCGGTCCCCGCGGCTGCACGACTCACCCGCGCCAGCCCCCGGCGCGGAAGCTCGCCCGCCCTCTGTGCGCCAGCAGGCGGGCTTCAGGCCGGCGAGGACGCGGAGAACGAAGACACATCGGGGAGAGTGAAGATCGGAAAGATTGGCATGGTCGTAGAGATCGGGGGGTTCGAGGTTTGCGGTTTTGAACGTTTGTGCTTCTCTTGAAGCATCGGGGGGCATCAAGGAGCTTCGGGGTACCTCCAAGGGCCTCCAAGGATCTAAGACCAGGAGGACCGAGGAAGAAGGAGTTTCTGGGTGTCTGGCACTGTTTCACTTGGGACCTTCAGAAAGATGCGGATGGTCAAGACAATAGTTGAACACCTCCGCCGCGTGGCACAACACAAAAAAACGCACCGTTAGAGGAGGAGGGGGAGGAGGACAAGGAAGCGGGAGAAGGAGAAGAAGAGGAAGAATAGGAAGAAGAAGAGAAAAAGGCAGAAAAACACATCACGGTAGGAGGAACATGAAGGGCAGGAGAAGGAGGGGGAGCTGAAGGATCAGGGAGGAGGAGAGGGCTTCGTTTCCGAAGAGATCGGGCGGGTATCGTATATCTACTTGTTATACAGACATACGTATCATAGCATACCGTATGAATTCAACGCGGAAGCTTGCAAGGTCAACACATAAAAACGCATGCCATAATGTCACGGCATAAACGTGAATGCAAGCATGTATACGTATACACGTATATTTGTCTATGACTGATGTACACATATGCATACATGTGCACCTATCGTATAGGATTAATATGCGTGTACCGTGGTCGATCCTTCGCGATGCGATTCATCATCCGTGCGCCAGCCACCCAAAGGCCATGATTCACCCTGGGCCTGACGCCACATGAACCTTCAAGTACCCTGCGTTCTAGATAGCTCTGTGGTCGACATCTGCGGACATTTCCGTCCGACAAAGGACTTAGAAGCAAACCGCAATGTCATGCGCTGACCATTGCATCATCCCGGCATCACCATCCAAACACACTCACTCACCGACTCACTCGCCCACTCACACACTCACACACTCACACACACATCATCGTCATCATCATCATCACCACCACCAGTATCGTCAGCAGCATCATCATCATTCACTCACGCACTCACCCACTCACTCACCCGCCTACCCGCCCATTCACTCAGTCACTCACACTCCCATCATCATCACCATCGTCATCATCATCATCATCATCATCATCATCATCATCATCACCATCATTAACATCAGCATCATCATCTTCAACAAATTACTCACTCATTTACTCACTGATTCATGTCAGGCAGGAGCTTCGTCTGCGAGCGACGCGCGAGGAAGTCTCAAGCGGGAGCCCCCTCCCTATGGGGCCCGCAGCTCACGTGAGTAATCCGAGCGGGTCATCGGAATCCTGTAAGTCGTCACTTTGGGCCTCTTCAAACTTGACTATGGCGGAAGTCTCAGGCGGGAGCCTCGTCTGTGAGCGAATGGAAAGGGAGTCTCAGGCGGGAGCCCTTCCCCTATGGGGCCCGCATCCCACGATATTAACCCGACCAGGCCATCGGAAACCCGTAATTGTCGTCACCGCTGGGCTCCTGAAGCCTGAATATGGGGGAAGCATCAAGCGGGAGCCTCGTCTGTGGGTGAATGGCGAGGAATGTCACGCGGGAGCTTCCTCCCTAACGGGTCCGCAACTCATGTCAGTAATCCGAGCGGGACATCGGAACCCTGTAACTGTCGGCAGTTTTGGGCTACTGCGGCGTGTAGACGGAGGAAGTATCAGGCGGGACCCTCGTCTGCGAATGGATTGCGAGGAACTCTCACGCGGGGGTATCCTCCTTATGGGGTCCACAGATCATGTTTTTAATTCGAGCAGGTCATCGGAACCTTGTAACTGTTGGGCTCGTGGGGCCTGAATATGGGGAAAATGTCAGGCGAAGGCCTCGTGTGTGAGCGAACTGCGAAAAAGCCTCACGCGGGAGCCCCCTCCTAAGGGGCCCGCAACTTGAGTAATCCGAGCGGGTCGTCGGAACCCTCTAACTCTCGTCACGTTTAAACTCTGAGTCTTGAATATTTGCTGTGTCTGCAAATTTTGTTACTGTCATGGGCGCGCCCGCGCCCTTGCGGAAGGCACTCGAGAAATTCGACGAAATAGCCAGGGCAGAGGCGAAGCACCTCGCGGCAATACTGAGTTTCGCGCCTCTCGCCTGACGACCCCATTCGTGAAGAGAAGACTGGCAAGCGCGAAGCTGCGCGTAAGCACCCGCGTCAGACACACACACACGCACACACACACACACACACACACACACACACCGGGGGTCATCTGCAAAGACGACTTCGTCGAAATCGCACGAACGAATAGCCAGACGCGGCTGCGCCCGCTCCAAGCCTGCAAAGTAGTCCCAACGGCCTGGTCGGCCAACGGCTCCCGGGGTTTTCCCGCGCGGGTTTGCTGCGCGACGCGGCCATTAGAGAATGCGCCCGCGATGGCCGAGACGACGACGGCGCCGAGAAAACCGACGCGCGCGCTCTTGCCAGGAAGAAACAAAGACCGACCAGGGGAACAATTTTTCATATGAGGGGCTCTTCCGCTAAAAGCTAGGCGGGCTACGCACAGCTTTAATTAGGGAGACAGGGCACAGGAAAGCGGAGCCTCGGGCCTCGGGCGGCCGGAGCGGGCGAAGCCCAGGGGTGCAGGCGGTGCCGAAGAGGATGCGCAGGAGCAGGTGCGCCGCGGACTGGTACCGGGGGCGAAGTCCCGGCGGGCGGAGGGGAAGGCGTTGTCGTCGACGGCGCATCGCGAACACCAGCCTCAAGCGCTGCACATGGGGACGCGCCACTTGACCAGGTCGACGCCCAGGAAGAAGAGGAGCACCACGAAGGCAACGTGCAACGTTGCGCCACCGGGCGATGCGGAAGAGGCCCAGGGCGGTAGTCCAATCCACGACCAGGTAGCAGCTTGCTTGAAGAGCGGCCTCAGACGAGGGGGCCGTTCACGACCTACAGGATGTCGGTGGACTGCAGGGAGAAAACCTGCCCTGCACCGCCAGCGCGCGGCGATGGGCA